TTATTTCACTTATTTTATTTGCATCGTTCTCAAGTCTTTGGTCAAGCATAACATCATGATTTTCACTCACAACCAACGACACTGACACCAACGCCAGCGCCAGAAGTTTGGCGAAATGAGCTCTTTAACGCTGTCGCGTTAAAAGCTTTATACGTGGTACTTGTTTCCAACCTTATGACCAATGTACGTTGCATAACTAAAAGACATATGTGGTTTGTATCATTAGATGATATTTCGGCCAGAAATATTGTTCGAAAGCCTCCTATACAGGGCTCAGTTGCAGTCCTCTGACCTAAATATGACACTACACGTAGTTTATTTTTCAGTAAGTGCTGTGAAAGATAATGTGTGAACATGTACTGGATGTACCAGCATATTCAAGATAATATTAGTGAATTTGGTACTGCATGTCTAAAAACGCGACGAATCATAAACGTTTATAATATTTCATATTTTGCTTAATAAATTAAAAAAATTGTTTTTGCTGTTATTTGTTTTCGGAACAGGAAAGACCAAAAGTACTCTCGAAAATTCACTTTTTGAACCACTGCTACCAATAATTGCAAGCTGGCGGACACCACAATACGACTCACCTAATTTCACAGAAAGAAATTTCTTGGACACTACCATTACATTATGATGTATAATAAGTTATTTAGAGTTTGTTTTAAAGACCTCAATGTCTTTTTAAAAATCACACTTTGGAAGAAAATAATAAGCAGGTATGTCTCGTGCGCTGCCTGGAAGTGTATAAAGCGTTACTATAGACTGTTTAATTGATGCGTACTTGAATCTAGAAGTGTGCTGAACATGGACATGTTCACTTATGAGGAAACAAGAAAGTCTGTCTCGCTTCGCCACGGTGGTCTAGTGGCTAAGGTACTCGGCTGCTGACCCGCAGGTCGCGGGATGAAATCCCGGCTGCAGCGGCTGCATTTCCGATGGAGGCCGAAATGTTGTAGGCCCGTGTACTCAGATTTGGGTGCACGTTAAAGAACCCCAGCGGTCGAAATTTCCGGAGCCCTCCACTACGGCGTCTCTCATAATCATATGGTGGTTTTGGGACGTTAAACCCCACTTATCAATCAATCAATCAAATCAAGAAAGTCTGTCTCTACTAGCAGTGCTACAATATACCTGCATTTTATTGCTAGATGGGCTATAAGTTAGAGTTTCCAATAATGGTTCTTTCTAGTTTGCATGTCGTTAAAAGAAGAGTTATAATGTGCACTTCCTCTTGGATTAGAAATTACCAAGGTGGGTTCATGTATTCAACTCTGATGCAACTCAAGTAGGAAAAGCTGCCTTTTTGTTAATGTAAGAAGTGTTCGTTCCTATGTGCCAAATTTTTCGGGAACCTCTTTTAGACTGCGCAGCAACTTATTTGCGTTTTTTTTCTCTTCGTAATCAAACTAGGTGCCAAGGCACAACGTTAAGCCTATCGACGGAGCCTGCTACATCACTGCCGTACATACACTTCCTTTTAGCAACAACAAAACTTGAGCAATTTTCATGAACAAATACTTATATTCCTCGTAGGCACTATTTACAAAGCCATTAACAAGCCGTCAGTAAGGTGACTGTGCCAGCCCTTGCGATCCCTCAAACATCGTTAGCTGTGTCCCGCGATGCATAGATGTACAGTGTCATTTGTTATGAAAGGGAAAATGTGAGCTCGTGGCCTGCGCGCTCCGGCGGCTGCTGGAAGCGCGTTCAAGTGAACTTAAGAGCAATCACAGTCTCTTTTTGTGTCATCTCGCGGCGAGCGAAACAACCAGTCGTTGCTGATATGGAACCGGTGGCAAGATTGCGACCCCCCTCCCCTTTCAAGGCGATCATGCGAGAGCCGGTAATCGCCTTGAAGTGGGAAGGGTTGCAACCTTTGCGTTCTACTATATCAGTAACGAACGGTGGCCTTGCTCGTCGCTAGATGACGTAAAAACATGCTGTGGTTGCTCTCTCTCCCGCTTGAACGTGCTGCCAGCAGCCGCTGGAGCGCACAAGTCAAGTGTCGCCGTGTTCCTTTTAATAAAAATTGACGCTGTACAGATTTATCGACGCAAACTTTCGTTCGCGGGAGCAGCGCACGCACCAATATGAATTTATTGCATATACCACTGCAGCTAATTTGGTCACTGCGATGTCAGTTACAACTTAAATTGTCAAAATTTGGCGGGGGGGGGGGAGTGAATGATCATTGTAACATGCTCTTGTGTCTTCAAAAACGTACCAGCTCACTTTATTGAGAGCACCCCATTCTGTGCTGACTTGAACAGCTTTGAACCAAAGATTAAGTAACAATGTACGGCAGCCTTGGACGCGCTCGGTGCGTACCTTTGGTCGCGCACCCTTTCCTCCACCTAGCACGACTAGACGCTGTCGACTAAGTATGCGTGTAAATAGGCGTGCCATTGCTTGGCCCTTTAGAGATAAATTCACTTTCAGAGCTTACATTTGCGACACGCTGTTTGAACACGGAAAGCACCGGTAGGACACACACGAGCGCGTAGTAACAACAGTTTTTTTTAATGAAAACATGACTAATTATGTGCGTGTGTAAGAAAGAAAGAAAGAAAGGAAGAAATAAAAATAAAAACTGGCAGATTCCCATGTACAGTGGGAATCGATGATATGCGAAGCACCAATAAGAAATGTTGATATGTCACTTTCAAATCAGCACAACGTTATGAGGTGAAATGAATGATGCCGTACATGACTTCCGTGTCATGATTATCATGTTTGCATGTGTCGTTTACCTTCGTCATTTATTCACGTCACGGTATATCAAATTTAGTATATGTGGAGCTAGCGAAACGGTCGCGATCACGCTATGAGTGTGGTATGTTGTAATGTTCTCACATGACACACGTGTCAGAGTTATCGTGTTTGCACCAGTCATAAATTTCGTCATCCACTGACGTCACGTAACACCAAATTTGGTACATGTGGAGCTAGCAAAACGGCCGCGAGCACATCATGAAGGCCCAACATACTCTAATGTAGAATTGACGCGCGTGCACGCTGGGCACAGCGACGCTACGTTAGCGAAACTTGAGCACTCTATAGTCTGACGCCAGGCGCGACCAGCCTCCGTCGGCGCGGCCTGACGGTAACCGGTGCGAAAAGCGACATGCTGCATTTCGCGCCGATGCGTTACGTCGACAACAATGCGTCTGCCTCTTTTCGTGACCGAGGGATGCCGGACGCGCAGAACCTCGCATGCGTCAAAGCAACACAGCGGGGTGCACGAATGCGAGTATATTGCAGGACCGGCGCCTGGCGTGGCGACGCCGGCGTGACGCGAGAAAATTAACTGACGGCGAGCACATGCAACGCGTCACGTCGAAATGTATTGGCGCCTTGTCTGTGGCATGTAGTCATGCTCTCACATGACACGTACCTCATGATTATCATGTTTGTGCCAGTCACGTACTTTCGTCATCCATTGGTGTCACGTAATACCCAATTTGGTTTATGGGAAGCTGGCAAAACGGCCGCGAGCGTATCATGAGTGTGACTTGTAGTCATGTAGTTACATGACACGTATGACTTGAATATCATGTTTGGATGTGTCATTTACCTATGTCGTCCGTTCGCGTCGCGTAATACCGAGTTTGGTACACGTGAAGCAAGCGAAACGGCCACGGGCGCATCAGGAGTGTAGCATGTAGTCATGTTGTCACATGACACGCGTCTCATTATTATTATGTTTGCACCATTCACATACCTTCGTCATACATTCACGTACCATAATGCCAAATTTGGTATATGTGACGCTAACAAAACGGCCGAGAGCGCATCATGATCGTGGCATGTAGTAATGTTGTTACATGACGCGCTTGTCATGATTTTTATGTTAGGGCTTGTGTTCGCTATGCAATCATGTCATACCATACCAGTTTTGCAAGATGCCATGTGAACGAAACCACAGCAAGCGCTGCAGGACCATGAAATTGAAATCATGCCATTTATGACATACATGTCAGGATTTTCATGTTATAACTAGTCAAATATGTTCTTCATACAGTCATGTTATGGCATACCAAGTATAAGTAGTCAAATATGTTCTTCATACAGTCATGTTATGGCAAACCAAGTTTGGTGTCGATACCATTATCGAAACGGCCAAGAGATCTAAAGGTCGTAGGCGGCTAGATAGATAGATAGACAGATAGATAGATAGATAGATAGATAGATAGACAGATAGATAGATAGATAGATAGATAGATAGATAGATAGATAGATAGATAGATAGATAGATAGATAGATAGATAGATAGATAGATAGATAAGCTCGAGGTCGCTGAAGTTCGCTAAGACATGCTTCACATTTAAAACGTCAGCCTGCACAGATTTGTCGCAGGTTTCAACTATGTACATTCATGTAGCCCCTGACTGACCCTTCAACATTTTATTTAGCTCGCGCTTTTTGTACCACCTCGCTACTGATGACTGAAACACGCCTAAATTCCTGAGCTCTGAGGAACGCGAGTGGTGTATAGTGTATATAAGCAGCCCGCTCTTAGCTTGCTGTTGAACGGTCGATTCGTTCTCTAGTGGTTTTGCACCGCGGGCTGCGGAGCGAGAACTTATGTACGTTCGACGCCAAGCGACGAAACATTTTCGTCTTTTTGTTTTTTATATCTGTTAGTATATATCTTGTAGCGTCATGCCGATGACGCAAATACGTTAGCGTAACCATGATGGACCCCGACATAATACACTTTCTTGTTAAAAAAGGCTTTTTTTTAGAATGGGGCCGCGACCAACGTCATAACTAAAAGAAAAGTTTTGTTTTTTTAAGCTTGCTGATGCCTAGATCGCCACGCTGTCATGAAGAAATGGCTAACTGCACGAATTTACTCATCAACTCACATGTTTTTGCTGCGTTAAATTACTTACCAGTATGGTCCAGTTTGGAAAGGGCTCTTTTGCTTTCTGCATTGAGTATACACTGTGAGCATACAGCTAAACCAAATGTTGTGCTCCTTGCATACGCAGGCCTGGATCCCGCCTCACCACGCTACAAGAATCTTCCTCCGCAAAAAAGGCTGTCACGGACGGATGCCCAGTTCGTGGATGTCATTCATACAGACATCTATGGTGTGGTGCCATTCGGAGGCTTCGGTGAGTTCTGTGCATGAGGCGCTTTACTGTATTCTTCTGAGTGACACGAGCTTTTAGCGACACTGCGTTAGTCTTGGCATAAGCGTTCCTGCTTTGCATTCTGAGTAATGAAAACTTGCAAAGTTTGAAGCACGGAATATGTTTCAAAGCATTAAACATACACGATGCAATGTCGTGGAATGTTCTCTACGTGATGTCATAGGTAGCATTAACAAACACATTTTAAATAAATGCAAGGAAGGGAACTGAACTCTTGAGCTGGAAAGAAATTTAAATATTTTGTAGTTCCGCGTTTCTCCTGGAATAAGAAAAATTCGGTGGATCCCACGTCACCTTGGGAATCAATGTTCTGCGAAGCTTGTAGATGGAAGGTGAACGTGTTTCATATTTTTATTGAGCGAGACGTTATGAAGGGCCGCTAAATATATCTACAAATCGACGCACATGCATACGTAAATAGACGCGTTAATTTAATAAGTAACGTTGAAAGTTGGATGAGGTGGTGATTGTTCATGTTTACTTATAAAGCAGCGCACGCAGGCAAGCACGAAGGAACGAAAGGGACACGCCTTCTTTCATTTCTTTTGTGCTTGTCTGCGTACACTACTTCATAAGCAAACATGGCATATATTTTATAATAGCAGTTTTTACTGTTGTGTAGCGATGCCAACCGCAACTTAGATATTAGCAACGCCAGAAGCGGTAAGCTGATTATGAAGCAATAGGGCTTGCACATGTGCGTGCGAGGTTGGTAGTTCTCAACACGGCCACAGCATTTAAGCTCAGCGAATGGCGCCTAACTACAATTTCCTTTAACCAGACGTGATGACTGTATGATAGGAGTACGTTTGTAGTATTTGTAAAACTGGAAAGCCAACACTTCAAATACAATTGACGTTTCACGAACATTACGATCTACTTGAAAAGCAGTTCCGAGAATTGGCATGTCTCTGTCGTATAGAATACTTGATATAGCCACGCTGAATGCTGGGCTCGATGCCTGCTAGGACCATAATATTTATTCTACGCGTTCATTGCATCAAAGCTGCTGATGCCAGCTTTCAAGGTCGAAGCTCGTGATGGCCCACCCAGTTGGCGTCCATCACGACCCAAAAAGCCCAAACCGAAACTGAGCCCCTGTTCAACAAAAACAGAAAACGTGTCTAAACAACGAACTTTAGGTGTAATCAACTACACGATAGCACAATACATGATCACCCGCATCATCTGTCTGCCCGCCTTTTCATGCATCTGTTCGTCAGTCTATCGGTGCATCCGTCCATCCATGCATATGTCCACCAGTCCTTCTGTCCATGCAAATGTTCACCTGTCCGTCCTTTAAGTGGTTGGGGAAAGCAAAAGAAGAGTGCCAACCGCAGCTGGCTATTCTTAGGATGACGCCTCAACAGGTCGGCACAGGAATGGTGTAATAGGAATAAAACAGATAGGAACGAAAGGTAAGAGAAGATGAAAAAACAAACGTACGCACATCTGCTCGCTGTAGTCGCTGTAAAGCCTACGTGATCACGACTATGACGTGGCCTTCAATGGATTCCGTCTAACGTTCACGTTGGCATTGCGGGAAACGAGGCTCCAATGACCTGGATAATTGCACAGAATAAACTTCTGGGTTGCGAAAACCAAAATGTTCTTTTTACGTTTTACGTTTCGGCAGGGGGACCGGCCTTCGCCATAATAGCAGGATATATATATATATATATATATATATATATTGTTCTTTTACAGAATCTGAAGAACATGCAAACCATTTGGTTGCGCTATGCCTACATCTAAGTGAGGTCCTCAAAGTGCGCATTATTTTTTGTAAATAAATCTTAAATTTTTAAAATTGTATTTTTTGTCCTGTGGTGTCTGAATATAATGTCCTACATCTACCAACATGTTTGCTCTCGAGAGCTTTTTCCCAACCTCGATGAACAGAAAATAAGCCTATGAGACAGAATTACTCCTTGTGCTTATTAATGAGCACGATAGACAATTTCGACGTCTGAACACAGTGCTGTATGTATGTCCGGATGAAAGTAGCAAGTAATCGCAAAGTTCGGTAGTTACGTGACTGCGTGCGAAGCAGGTTGACGGTTCTGTCAGTAACTCCTTGGCATCAAGATATTCTACGTGTCAAGATATTCTACGTGCGCTGGATATGTTTTTTTTTCCTACTTCAGTGAAAACCGCCTGCATAAGTAGCAGCTCTTGAATAAGCAGTTTTGTGTTATTTTGATTTTTTTATTGTAGGACTGAAGGAGCCGATCGGCCACATCGACTTCTTTCCCAACGGCGGTGACAGACAGCCAAACTGCTCCAGTGAGTCTTCTTATGCTGTCCTATGAGCTCATGCTCTGACGCACTCGTTGTTTCGCGCCTGTACTGACGCGAAAATCAAACACATAACATGCATATGCGAATAGTTCTGTGGAGACGAGCAAGGTGGCGTAAGGATAAAGAAACAGAAAGTAGACAACGAATTGTGTATATGTGCTTCAAGGGGTCAATGAGTTTGCCCCGTGCTCTTCGAAATACTAGCTTCCTGGTTAGTTCAATTAATAGAGCGATCTCCCCGAAAAGCCGTTGGTTCCGAGCTGAATGTTCGGACCAGGACAAATATTTCGGTAACTAAAAGGCTTTTTCTTCTGAGAAATTTGTACAGATTTCCTTGTGTCTTCATGTGACAATCTGGTGATTGTCTACACTGGATTTCTTTCATATCATGCACGCTGGCGCGCACAGAGAGTTCAACGTAAGTCCTTCACGATGTCACCAAACGTATTAATTAACATGAAGGCGCACTGCCTGCACTATATATTTCAAACCTCACGCTCGTTTTATTTTTTCTGAATTTTACCTTTTCTAGCACTCTTCATATTAGCTATTGTCAACTCTCTCACTGACCTGCACTTTTTAATGACAGCCGCTGTTAAAAAATGCGGTATACCATCTACGCTTAAAGTGCAGCGCACAGTGCAAGTGTAGTGCTTATAAGCAGGAGCCTAAAGAATGGCAGCTGCAGTACAGTGGGAGAGACAAGTACAGATGGCAATTGCTACAAGCTCGGCCAGCCCGAATTCTATGCAAGCTCGGTGCACAACTCCTCCCGACTCTACCTCAAGCAAGTGGGAGAGGTCCCTCAGGAGCTCACTTCTCGCCGACCAGCGATGGGCCGTCCAGCAGGCCCACGAAGCGGCCGCCAGGTACTCCCTGTCGGTCCCTACGTGGGAGACGCCCGCTACGCGCTAAGCGCGTCCTGCAGGACCGAAATAAAGTTTTTTCATTCCATTCCACTCGGTGCACTTCAAGTTGCAGCCATTGTGTTAATATGCGCACACACCCCAGAGAAAAATCTTGCTGAAAATATGGTAAACACTAGAGTACTGATCTGGGTGCATTTTTATTGTTTTCATTTACATACTTTAAAGATGATTTAAAACTGGCGTTATACAATACTCGCAACACTTTCAACATTCATAGTAAGGAAGCAATAATACGTTAGGGCTTACTAGTTAGGGTGTATTTCAAAGACATCTAGCACATATACACTGCATTTCAATTGAAAGTGAAAATGCCTGAAGCCTGTGTATTTATTTTAAGCGCACTTTGAAGACCACCCGGTGGTCGAAATTTCCGGAGCCTTCTCTCTTTCTTAATAGCATAGTGGTTCTGGTGCGTTAAACCGAAACTATTATACTATGACGAAATATACAGTGGGTACTTACCTAGTGGAGTGTGCGCAGAAATAAGGAGCGTTTTCAGGCTTGTTTACAAGATGGAACCGCCACACGAACAGTTACAGTCGAGAGCCCGTGAGTGTGGCGTAGTGTGCTCCCGCGGTCAACTGAGCTGGATTGCGCGTCGTGTTTACAGCAGTCTCCGCGCTTTATTTTATTACGTGCGAACAAGTTTTTTTTTTTTCAAGTGGGAAACTTCAGTGGAAACCAGGATGAACGCCACAGAAGGGATGAGACAATGCACAAAGAAACACAGCCATTTTTGCTTCAGGTTATTTCTAACAGTGATAAAACACTCTTGGGCTGTGCAACTTCAGTACTGATTGAAGCCTTCGATTGACGTCTTAAGGCTAGTGCACACTGGCGACTAGCAGCGGTCGCACGACCATTTGCGACTGGCGACCAAAAAGCTAATGATGTTCACACCGGCAGAGGCTGCATGCTAGCGACCGGAAGTCCCAATCCCAGAGAGTCACGTCCGGATCTCGTTATCAGCGAAAACTCGGGAGACCGGCACCAATCAGCTGATCGCACCAGCTGAGTAAGCGGAGCAAACCGAACGCGCCGCATTTCTCGTTTTTAACCGTTCTCACCAGCGCAATAAAAAAACAACAAAAATTTAGCATTGCTGATTGGTTCCAGCAGCTTTGCGACCGCAGTCGCGCGACTGAAATATCGGTCAGGAAGCGACTAGCCAAAGCAGTCGCTTTGCGACCGTTTGCGACTGTTCGCGACCATTTGCGGCCAGTTGCAAATGGTAGTGCGACCGCTGCTAGTCGCCGGTGTGCACCAGCCTTAACGTTTCGAACGGCACTTTTCTGTTTGGTGGTCTTCTGCGCGGGTACTGAGCCGAGGAGAATACGGGAGTTTCATTTTTTTTTGCCAACGACGGTGTTACATCATGCTTTCGTACGATTTTTGCTTCGAGCTTCAGAGTAGAAATAAGCTCTATTCAGCATGCAATATTTCTAGTGCGTGCCTTCTAAGAACCATGCACCGAGAATCAGAAATTGTATTTGTTATAATACGGGTCAGCTGCACGGGAAACCTTACACAAACACGCGGCTTCAAGTTGTCGCGAGAGCAAGGTTTCGCGGAGAATCTTGTTCTTTTACGGCTTACAAACGGAGCAGTCAAGGTCGCCCCGTTCGGGATTAGAAGGGGAAAGCTTACTCGGAAAAGCGTCTAGCAAGAGGCAGGTCCGGCGCCACCGTCTGAGTCTAAGCCATTGTTAACAGGCACGCGTGTCATTGAGAATGACATGGGGACGCGACCACTTAGCCTGACCGAGACATAGTGGCGGCAGGTAAACGACCATATTCTCTCGCGCTGTTATTAGGATGTCGGGGCGCCTCGTTGTCGCATGTACACCTGGTAAGCAATGGTGTACCCATCGCTCTTAAGGACGCTTCTAGGAAGCAACAGTTAATGAAAGAACTTACGGGGCCCGAGCGTGGGAACGGCCGCCGACGGTAGTCGGCCGAAGGAGGCAGCACGGCCTGGTATGGGAGAGAGTGTCCCGTGCGGAGGACTTATCCCTTTGCGTGTTTCATTTGGTAAGGAGGTTTTTACAGCTGTAGTGCTTTTATGAAAGTGTTTCTGTGATTGGTTGTGATGCTGCGAGTCCCAACATGTGATTGGATTTTGTGAAGACTCTTTGTTCGACCAAGGGTTAAAAAGAGGATGTTTGAACTTAAAAAGTGAGCGGAGTTGGGGTAAACAGGGGATCTCACCACGGGAGACCAGGCCATGCAGGCCGAGGGGTATGTTACCATTTTCTATGTTTTGTCTTTGTGACCCAGTGCATTTTGTAAATTGAAGTTGTTTTAGCTAAATAAACCCCCAATAAGTGCTCCCCGAAATCATCGTGTTGACGTCTCTTCGATTGCCTCCGCGGAGTTTCACCCACACTTATTCGTCTCCCTGGTCGTCCGATGCGCCTAACTTGAACAACCCCGACGTTTCGCTACAAAGTTATCAAGAAACAGCGCACACAAGAAGCCTAAATTGGCCACTTAAAACTTAATAGTTAGGCAAAATCTATCGAACGTCTTTGGCGCTGGCAACAGTTGCATTGTTCCATTATGATGGTCATAGGCGTGCGCACGAGAGGGGCAGGTAGGACAGCAGCCTGCCCTAGTCATAGTTAAATTAGGGGGGGGGGGGCGAAATCTTCCCCATAAATAGCGAGGGGAGCTGCATCAAACCTTCTCGTTAACCCCATGTTGAGAACTCTCAGCACGCCCAAGATGGCAGTAATGGCTGTTGTCATGTGGTTGCAGGTTTCAATACATGAGCACTATGGGGTGCTTTTCCTCTAGTATATGAACTCCGATAGCAACAGCGCCGGTAAAAGAGCCGAGGAGGCGGAGTTAAAAATTTTTGACTACTGACTCACCGTTTTGAGACTTAGCAAAGAAAGCATTGCATTTCTTTTGTCTGCCGCAAGCTCAGATGTATAACTCTTAGACCGTAAATAGAAAGCGGAGAGCACCACTGTTCCAGCTGTGAATAAGTGTCACTTTCCTGCTTTCTTGCTTTTTATTTTGGCCACAAACCAGGCATCGCACATCATACGCCACCACACAATGTGGGTGAAACAAGCGAAGCTGTGATTGTCGTCGATTTGTGACTCTTGCAGGGGCGGATCTTTTGTGCGAGCATTTGCGCTCGTACGATTACTACATGGAGACGATTGTGACAGCCGCACCTTGCGTCATGGTGGGCTTCGTCTGTGCGGATTGGTCTTCCTTTGTGGCTGGTCGCTGCACTGACTGCGGGGCACGCAACGACCTTTGCGTGCGGTTCGGAGAGCCCGCAGACCAACACCGGGAGCTACTGAGTGACACTTCACGGTCGCTGCTCGTATACCTGCGTACAGCCGGCTACTACCCGTACTGCGGTGAGAGCCCATTTCAGGTTAATTATATTTTCACGCAGGTGAGGACGCTTCTAGGCTTGCATGCATGTGAGGTGCGTTCCACCAGATAAGTAACAATGGCGCGCGTCCACTGCTACGGCAACAACGGCGGGTAACCAACGGTGACAGGATGATGCCATATGCGGGTGCACGGTTTTACTTGAGGGTGGTCGAAGGTTAGTCGCAGCACCTCTCCACAAATTATGTCAACTTACTCGGGGGGGAGGGCTGACAGTGCCCCCCCCCCCGAGTTGCGGCGTCCCGCTCCTTTTTATGTCTATACAAGGCTGGCTTGGCGGCCCCCTCTTGAAAAGTAGGGAGGACGGCCACCCCCTGCATCCCTCGCCCTCATGCGCATGCCTATGAAGGATGCCACTTAAATCAAGCAAATTTTTTCTGGGCCTTTGCTACAGCAGGTTACGTGGTCAGTGGCAACGCCGAGGTGTCCCTGATGTCATGTTGTTTCACGCGTGATAAGCGTGGTCTGCGTTTCTAACTTCAGTTGCTAGCTTGCCGAAGCACCATTCGCTGACTAGGAAGTTCACATTTCCTGCAAAATACTGGTTGCTAAGGGAACGCATTTTTGTCTTGAAGCTGCGTTGTCCTACCAAAGGTATCAGGTGCCGTCAATGGACCAACCGACACGCGGTGCTGTTTCCTTATCTAACTAATCGTTCCCACCGAGCGTCCTCACCTTAAGAAGTGCCCGTGCGTAGTTACCTTTTGATTACATACGGCAACATAAAACCACAGCCACCATCAGTAATGTCATTGCGCACAGTGTACCTTCTGATGTATCTATCTTTTCTTTCTTCTCCCGCTCACTAGATGCATGACATCACGGAAACTTTCATGTTCTACCTACTAATAACGTCTATGGTGAACGCTTACTACAGTTCCTGGAGCTAAAGTGTGGAGCAATTACCACTTCATATTAAAGATAATTGGGCTTACTCAAACAAACTTAAAAATATTTTATACGAGCAGAACAATAGTATTGACCATGTACAAAACCTTACACAGAGTTATATGTTTCGTCTGTATATGTTTCTTTGTTTAATTGTGAAGAAAGTGTAACAATGTTATAATCTTTAAATTTCTGTACGTGCTGTCATGCATATACGTCACCTTAAATCCCAATAAAATATATCATGTATTATTGTTCGTTTTCATTAAAAAAGTTTATTTGATTTTCTGATTTTATACAAATTGGTATTCTGCTTATGTACCGTTCTCCCGTTAGAACTCCTGCTAGCCTATGGCTGTGGGTCTGATTGATTAAATGATATGTGGGGTTTAACGTCCCAAAACCACCATATGATTATGAGGGACGCCGTAGTGGAGGGCTCCGGAAATTTCGACTACCATGGGGTTCCTTAACGTGTGGCTGTGGGTCTAATCAGTGTTGCGAATTTACAGCAACTGTATTCTGAAGAACCTCAATCATTCTTGAATCTTGAAATCATGAAAGAGCTTGCAGCATTTTCTGCGAATGATAGCGTTATACCATGCTTTCATACCACCCTGCGTTGAACTCATGTTGCCGCTCAGTCAATTAGCCTCAGAAAGCGATAGTAGAGTAGTAATAACATTAGCAAAATACATTCGAAATAATAGGTTATACAGCATGTCGGAAACTCCCGGACCTAAACAAGTTGTTTATGCTACAGTCACGCTAGTCCCTATGACCTCGGTGCGACCTCACGGCAGGAGATTGCATTGCGGCCAGTCGCGTTTGCCAGTCCCACTCTAACGCCAACGGAAAAGAATACATTGTGTGATAATTAAAAGTGGCATTGGAGCTTCGCCTCTCGCACTCGGCCAGCGCGAAGGGTAGGACGACGATGTTAGATAAAAAACAGCTTGCCTGCCGCAAAGGCGTTGTCTCTTTGTCTCCTTCCGGCGCCGTCGCCATAAACTGAGCCGCCTGTGCTTCAGCATCTTTGGCGTTGCGGACATACCATTCCAGGAACGCCGTCCACGTTTCCTAGGTCATGGCATCGGCAAGCTTGCCGCCGCAGGAATCCAGTTCGAGGATGGCGACCAGGGCTACTCGGTATCCGCTCACCTGCCGGCCCTACAAGCACAGCTCGGGGACAGCGTCTATGCCTCCTCGATGCCTCACAAGTTCTCGGCGCTGCGAACACCGTCCAGCGACGGCGCCCAGGCCTCCTCGGCGGCTCAATTTTCCTTTGCCAGCGCCCCAACACCAGATCGCGTCAAGCACCGCCCGGGATTTTCTCGTATGGGAACGCAGTTAACGCTCCCACGAGCGTGAATCACTTCAACAGGACTGTAGCATTCCGTTAGCCTCACATGGCCACCGTCCATGCGTCTATGGACATGGGTGGTGCAGCCGTGCCATGCGGAGTCACTGTTCCCTCCGCAGAAGCCGGCCCTGGCATGGAAACCACCAGCCAGTCGCCGTAGGAAGCACCGTTCAGCCAGGAAGGCGTCTAAGCCTCCTCGTCACCTCTTCACTAACCGGCACTTCAAGCAGCGACCACGAAGACCGCTGAAGGCGTCCAGGCCTCCTCGGTAACTCGACAATGCTCTCTCAACAATGCAGTGCTTCATGCAATCGCCACGCTGATTGCTGCGACGACAGCCAATTCCGTGGCCGCCGTCAATAGTCAAGATGGTTCAACCGACGATGCTGCGGACGTCATCCGTAAAGCCGCGCATTTGTCCCAACAACTAAAGAGCTTCGCGCCTTCTAACTGCGAGCTCTCAACGAACAGCTTGAGTACCACGCCTCTCACGTTCTCCGCAGTCATTGCCCTTGGTTGTTCCGGCTCCCTACTTCACCACCCCACCGACTTCATGCGGGTGACGTCTTGCTGGCCCAGGCGCTAGACAATTTCTCCATGTGAACTTCGGGATCTTTATACTACACATTACCATCAGTAGTTGCTTTGGAACTACCGGAGTTCCCAGGACTCAAGGAGACGTCATTCTTTGGATCAAAATGGTAAATGCTCTCGGCACCTACCATGCGTGGCCGAACGATCGCAAATGGCTGGTGGCTGTCGACTGCCTTCGCAATGCTGCCAAAGCCTGGTACAACTACGAATGCGTTAAGCAACAATCTTGGACTTAAAGATGTGGCATGTTGTCCTACGTATTTCACCCGCTTTTCCATGCTTCTGCCCCTATCCCAGCTGACCTAGGCCCTGCCGCAGAAGTGAGCTCTGCGACGGACCACCACGACGGTGCAGCTCGTGTGCCCACCGATCTGCCGTCCTTCGGAGACAAAGCTTGCCACCACCAAATAGATGTCTGCATTGGCTCTCTTCATCCAATCCCGTTAGAGAATGGGCTTCCTGTTTCACCTTTGCTACAGGTGCACGTGTAGATGTCAGCTTTTACCGTGACATAACCGCCATCAGCATGGGGGAGGCTAGGGCAACTCTAGATGCTCTCGCAGACCCACCGTATCTGCTTTCGCAGATTTGACAGCAGTCCCTGGCAATCGACCACCTTTCAAACAGCGAGAAGAGTATTTGGACAAGTCCAAGAAACTGCCTATTGAGGCAACATCAACGCCAGCTATGCCTGCCACATACTCCTCACCCAGCCCACCCGTTACGCAATCTGAACACCTCCAGGTGTTCCGAATGATGAAAGGAGAATGAGTGATGAGCCCCATGGTATTAGGACAAAGGTTGCATCTGCTCTGCAACCTCTTTTTTCCCTTTCATCTCTTCCCCAGTGCAGGGTAGCAAACCGGATGTGCGTCTGGTTAACCTGCCTGCCTTTCCTTGCATATTTATCTCTCCCTCTCTCTCTTGTATCTGCTCATTTTGCTCACAAAGAGTGTGACTGTCCTTGCGGAGTTGATGCAAATGTAGCCGACTTTCTGAAAGAAGCGCAAAATAAGCGTAGAGAAATTAGGCCACCCACTGTGCCTCCTCGCATGTTGCTCCGGCAGCTTTCTTCGAGCAAGACGTGTCCGCCGCTTTCTCCGTGACATGGCCGAGCTCAGGTGCCAAATTTGTGGCTGGCGGCTGCCACAAAAAGCCATTTCTTGACCACGACCAGCCTCCACGGTGCAGCCTGGCTCGCCCTCTAGATACAGTTCTGGCATATACGCTGACGAAATTGTAGCGTAGCCGAGACATGCGCTCACAACAGGGCAGTCAATTTCGACTGCCAGAGTCGTCAGCACTTCTTCAAGAAATGCCACGGCGAGCGAAAAAACGACCATCCAGGCACAGCCAGTATCGCCCACTATACCCATTTACGGCAGATCCCAAGCGGAGTCCCAGCGTGGCCGCGAGTGACCGTTGATATGCAGCCAGTGCTGCGTGTAATGATTAAAAGTGGCAACGAAGCTTTCCCTCTCGTGCTCGGCCAGCACCAAGGGAAAGACGACGAAGTTAAAGAACAGCCTGCCTGCTGCAAAGGCGTTGTTTCTTGTCAGCTGCTCGCTACAGTATTCATGAATAATAACCGGCAAGGCAACAGAAGAAAACAAAGTGAGTAGTACGAGCCGCAGTCTCTGGCTTTCTGAGAAGACGACATTGAGGCGTCTCCTCTTGTGCTCTTGCGTTGGAATACAGCGTTGACTGAACGAAGTCTTGCGTCTTGTTAGTTCTACGTTGCAACACTGGTTGAGGTGCTGCACTTCTACGACTGGTGCTTCGGACACCTCCACGACCCGACACTTCAAGTCTGACACTGCAGCCCGTTCCTGCAGTGGATACTCCTCTCCACTGCTAGAGTCGCCATCAGAGTAGTTGTAGTCTCGAGGCTATTTCCTTGGAAATTCCCCACCAACGCACTGTGCCTGGAAAAATGTCAATGGGAGGTTTTCGCAGTTGACTGTTGAGCATCCTCAGATTCCCGAAACCCTCCATGGCGAGGTTGATGAAGACGTCGAGGACTGGCTAGCCTAATATGAGCGATGCGCTTAGGCAAACCGTTGGAGTCCCGACCAAAACTTTCACGTGCTTACTTTCCTTTACCGGACAGCGCTCGTACGTGGTACGAAAACACCGAAGCAACGCTGTCTTCATGGGATCATTTTTAGCAGAACTTTCTCAGCCCATTGGAAAACAACGACCACCGTGATACCGCTCAGAAACTAATGCAGCCACGCACCCAAAAACCGAATGAGACTGCCGCCATGTTTGCGGATGCATTGGCCCGCCTTTTTCAATGAGATGAGCTTGTGGTGGGTGAAACCAAGATGCCTGAAGCCAAGCTTTGAGCATTAGCGTACCTACATAATTATGTCCGTATCTCTAACGCATATGGTCTCCAGTAACCATAGTATACCAAAATAAGGTACTATGTCTGTGTCTCGAACATATATGGTTCACAGTAGCCGGAATAGTTTAAAGGTACCGAAAACTTATTTTTTCGACCCAGCTTTATTTCGGCGCGACAGAAAGCTTACCCTTCGTAGCTTATCTTATGGCCGCTACGAAGAGTAAGCTTCGCAGCGGCTGTAGTTAATCCCAGAAGCACGCAGTCATTCTACAAGCAGTATTTTTAGATCTCGAATGCTCTGAACACAGATGAGTTCTTTCGTAAAGCAACGCTGAGAATTGATAGCGATGCAGGTAGTGCTTCTGGTGACTTGTCCATGCTGTCGTTCTGCTTACACAGAAGTTCCTGTAACTGTGCTTACCCTCGTTTATTCTGAGCTTTGCAAATATTTCGGAAATTAACAAGTCGTTACAGTGAGACGATGTGGCTTTATACAGCGTCTCTGTATTGTGCCGCGTCGCAAGCGCTGCGCTCAAGGTTGTTGCACCCATGTCGTGGTTGGCTTGTCCCGTCATCGTTACTCTCTCGAAACACGACTCAAGCCAAGTCCCACATATGCGCGGCCGTGACGACTAGCAGTGGACGTCATTTATGAGACAAATCAAATCTAGCTTTTATGGAAACGAGCGGTTTAGTTCACCTGAACGACACCACATGGCGACCTTAAAGAATTCAAAAGACCCGCCATGATTAATGCAGTCACGTGAACTAAATGAAATATAACAAAAAAATGGTGTACACACCCTGAAACGTTCTCTTCACCTCAGTGCACAGATAACAGCGCGGTGTGTCAGCATTATCTCGACAGCGACAACTGGCGATGGATTGTCAGTTTTTCTAGACATACCGTGCCAGACATCTCGCAGCTTTCCGGATGAAATGTCTGGCCGTCGTAGCCACACCTTCGGTTCATAAAAAAAGCACCTCTTTATCTGTTTTTAGTTTCTGCACTGCCGTATTCGTGTGGATATTAGAGAAGCATGCTGCTTTCAGGGCTTCGTGTTCAGCGAGCGTAAACCATTATGCTTGGGTACGAAGAGGACATTGTGGTTGTATAATAACCTTTTTATTTTTGTGCGTGCTCTACTTAGGGGAAGGTGGTTGCTGCTTGCATTACGTCAAAGTAAAATTGAATGACTTTAAGAACGCTAAGATGAGGGTATTAAAAGGAAGGTGAAGTTATCTATTTTTCTTTTCTTTAGCTCTTGTCGAAATGTGGTGGCCACCTCCAGCTTGGCGTCGAAGCGGCTGTGGCTCGAACTTACGCAAGCAGTCAGGCTTGCTTTCCCACCGAACCATGATCTCGGGGTCGCACGGATATTTTTGCTCGCGATTGAGGCCGGTACTGATCGAGTTTGGTACTCAAGGCCTGTTCGAGTCTAGTCCTTTCAGTCACCATGTCACCATATGGAGACGTGACTTTCTTCTTCGTTTTTGAACACGAAACCGAATGAAATCCATGCTGCAGAGTGGTACAGCTAATTTTCGAAACACACAGAGTTGAAATGTACCGCCAACTGGATTTGGAGCGGCAAAACAGCACTCGTAAAAATCCTTTCAAGATGGACGTCACCACGTTTTATTGGAGCACCTGTGAGTTGCCGTCCAAAGTTCTTTTTTACGGCGGCGTAAACCATTTATACAGCCTAAAAACGCGTGTTTCATGTGCAGAAAGAGCCAGTTAAATGAAAACCAGTGAGTTTTTCATTGCGAGGTCTTTTAGTTTTCACTTTTCACGTTGTTTAAGTGTGCGTGTACAAAACAACACACCATGACTAATTCGTACTTTTTTAGCATGGTCGCGGGAACTTAGTTCGCTTGTGTCATTAGAATTTTGATCATTTTTGGTCCTAATTATCTCTTTTCATCTATCGAGAAGCATGGAAAGACTCGACGCAAGGCCAATGTTTCTGCAGGAGAGCGAATTTTTTTGGCAATCGCTGACGGAAACCTGTCCGATGCTAAGCTTTCTGACGACGAGGCCAAAATCTCCGACGATGTTGTAAATGTGGTATGTATATTTCGCAGTAGTTCATAGTTTTTAGCAGAGCGGTTCCCCAAACGATTACGATTTATTTTTATCATAGGACATTGATCTTGGAGGCCCAAGCAATGCTTCCGCGCCAGCAGTGGAGGAGAGCCGTGATTCCAATGAAGAGAATGATGCCGTTAAAAAGAAGCGCAAAAACTATGTTAACGGGGTGAAGAAAACCTTCGATCTAGGTGACATATCATGTATCCCAGCCTCGCCGAAAAGCGAGGTGCCGGCTGAACCCATTCAGTATTTCACGAAGTACCTCTCTGACAGCACATTTGTAAAGCCTTGCAGAATGCTCAAACCTCTATTACTTGCGAACAACTGGCGCAGAGCTGGGCACTACACCGCAAGAAATTAGAGTATTTTTTGGCATTGTGATGTACATGGCGGTGCTATAAATTTCCAAGAATTAGGATGTACTGGCAACAGCGAACCCGGATTGCCGGGGTCACAGATGCAATGAATCTGAACAGATTTTTTAAGCTTCGGACCGCTGTTCATATGAATGGTGCGAGTGGTCCAGCCCCCAACAACACAGATAAATTCTGGCTGGTGTGACCTCTCGTTGAGATCGTTAGGGTGTGATGCTTGGAACATGACGTAATGTAACAGTCAAGTGTTGACGAACAGATGATTTCTTTCACTAGAAAAGTCACCGCAAAGCAAGTAATCAAGTCGAAGCCAAATCCTGAAGGTGTTAAAGTTTTTGTTCGCTGCAGTCCTGATGGAATCACTCATCACTTTGAAATCTATCAGGGCAAGGGAACTTGAATTGATCTGAGCTATGCGCACCTCGGTCTTGGTGGCTCTGTTATATCAAGGCTGTGTGAAGAACTGCCAAAGGGAAGAAATCTCAAGTGTTTTTTTGACAATTACTGCGCATCGGTGACCCTGCTTTGCGAACTCCGAATGGTCGGCATACAAGCGACAGACACGATCAAGGCAAACAGACTGATTGGTTGCAACCTGAAGAATGAAAAAGAGCTCAGAAAGGAAGGTAGAGGGCGATGGACACAAATGTGACTGAAGAAGGGGATGTTTTAGTTAGATGGCTTGACACGATATTGTAAACATCGCTTCTACGCAAGTAGGGTGTGGTTCGGTTGGTGTCGCCAGCAGATGGAGTGATGCATCAAAGGAGCGTATTGAAATGCCATGCCCGCTAGCCATTCTGGAGTACAACAAATTCATGGAAGGCGTCGACAAGCTAGATTTCGTGATGGCCCTTTATCTCACGAAAGCGAAAACTAGAAAAAGCCTGTCAGGCTAATGTGCCATTTCATATCACTGGCTTTGGGCAACTCATAGTTGGAGCGCGTGCGAGACGCCAGCAGCCAGGGAATTCCAAAAAGAAAGGCCCTTGACACGCTCGCCTTCCAAACGGATGTGACTCTTACCCTTGTTCAAGTGAACAAGAACGCACCAAGGAAGGGAGGGCGGCCGAGTTCTGACTCAGCTGAGATGCCTACACGTAATAACCATGTCGTGATTTTGAAGCGTTATACCCCAAGTATTATTATTACTGTTAGGACAGCTGCAGCGCGGAACAGTTTTGAGTGTCAATCTTCTGTCATTAAATATCTATCTTGTTTTAATCAGGCCTTTCTCTCTCTCTCTCTCACACAAACACGTGTCTGTGTGTGTGATTGAAGAGAAGGACACACGCACGAAATGTGGTTTTAGTAATGCTTCGGCTGGAGGCCAGCCCTCGTCAGCATGGATGTACAACATGTTACCGCGTCTGTATATGGGTAAGTAGATGTACAATACAAAAGTGTTCTTTTCGTTGCAGTTTTCGTCTGATTTTAAAAGCACAAACCTTTCATACTAGTCGACGATTCCAAAGAAGATATTATGAATCCTAGGACCTAGCTTTGTCCTCGGCTCGCACTTTCTGCGTCTTGCATTTAGCGGTTTTCGAGTGGAAAGTGCTCTAAAAAAATACGTTTTACGCAGTTTACCACTACGAGGTGAGGTTGGAGGTGATAGCTGATGTGGCCAGGCGGTACAGCCTGCACAACTCGTCGCTTACAGTGACGCTGGGACCGAAAGTGCAGCTACACGTACCTCTCATCGACACGTAAGTACCCTATGACTTGCATTTTTCATATGCGCTCTTTCCAGCTTCGTTTGACTGATATATTGCGTTGGTGGGCGCAACACTGATAAGAGAAAACCGCACTGATGTAAATATAACAAGATAGTATTCTTTACAATGGCGCATACTGCTAGCGGATGTGTCAGGGCAGCAGACCATGCACGTTTTCCCCGCGAGTCACAGGTATCAAGGCAAAATAAGTTAGTAATCAGTATTTAACGTGATTAGCAATATTACGGTACTTGACGCCACTTGTCCTGTCTGTATGTATGTTTTTTTTCGAATTAAATGTATCCTTTTTATGAAGAGAGAGATGTCCCTCTTCAGCAAACTACTTGTGCCCCTAGATGAGAGTTTATTTCACAGGAGTTGGTCATCTAGACCATGGTACATATCACTTTTCAAGTACAGCAGCCAGTTAAGAAAAAATATGTACAGGCAGATTCCAAACTTTGGGAGAGTCAATATGGAAAGGCGTCAGTGCATTCTAAGGCAAAAGGATGTGTGGTTCATCCTTTTCAGGACTAAGGGGGCTGCCACAACCAATAATCCCTTTAAGGACTAACGACACCGGGTCTAACAGTTAGTCACTACAGATGAGCTCAAGGGACAAACATTTAGTCCTCACATTTACACCTTAGTGAGCAACCGTCAGTCCCACAATTCACCTCAAAGGACTTACATTTAGTCCTCACAGTTGCACTTTGCCGGACGAACGGTTGATCCACTCAAATACTTCAATCAGATGAACTTTTTGTCCCCAGTTCAAACATTGTTTTTTTGTTTTTTTTTCGCCAGGCCTAATACTTTTTTCGCTTGTTTTTCTGCGCAGTGAGCAACAAATTGCGCAGAAAAGAACACGCGAAAAATTAGTTAGCCACCTATGTGTAACAACTTTCGCAGTTACGGCAAAAACGAAAGACAAAAGTCAGACATCGAAATCTTTCATTTTTCTACATACACATGAAGTTTCGCTATTCTTTTAAGTGAAATGATGGTGAAGTGTACAAGTCCCGTCTCGTCGTCAAATCTTGTTCGCTCCTTCGGGAGCTTCTTTGACGGAACCGATAGATGACAGGAATTGCAGACGCCAGCACACGCAGCTTTCTGCCTGTTGTGTTCCCACGGCTGCACGTACAATAATATAGTAAAAGTAGTTAGACACATGTCACAGGAGATTAATATGCACGCATATGCAAGTACGTGCACGTTATTATAAGAACAAGCGTTAAAATATGTCACACAAATAACTCTACCTTCACATGTCGCACAGTCCTTCTGAAGCTGCTCTGACGAAAGAGATGGATGACAGGCATCGCAGACGCCAGCGCGTACAGTCTTCAGCACAGTGTGTGCCCACGGCTGCACAATAAGTATGTAAAATAGTGAGTAACACGTGACAGAGGATGAATACAAATGCATATGAGCAATACGTGCAAGGTGAAATGAAAAGATTCGTGAGATATGACATGCTAATAATTCCACCGTGATGTTACTCGTCGTCAAAGACTGATTTCGATCCCCGTAGCGCAAAAGCTTAGGAGCGGCGGCCGCAGCCACAGCTCCGCTAACTACCGTGCCGCTAACAAGTTGGCGAGTCCTAATAGAGCGACGTCGTTCAGCTCGAGCAAGCCAACGCAAGACCAAACACGGCGCTGCACGTGGAGTGTCTGCGGCCAGCGAACTTCGAACAGGAGAGCGAGCGTACGCTTGGCCGCCGCCACGAACAGCACCGAAGACATCGATGGTAATGTGGCCCTTTTCCACAAACTCGAGCAAGTGCAGCGCGCAAATGCGAGTCCGTGGCCGCGGCCAACAGACGGCGCCGAGCTGCTTGCGACCGACTGTCGGGAAAGCCAACTGCATTGTCGACCAATTTTCAGTGAGTTCTGACGCTAGCGAAAGGCCCGCCAGCCCGTGCTGGTTCACTTACAGCGCGCGACGTACTACAAGCTCTTTACGAGAACCCGCAACGTGTTTTCGACGACTACCAACACAGCGACGAGGTCTCAGCCCAATATCGTCAGCCCAGAGCTCATCGCGGCGGCGAAGACAGGCGACGACTCGATGGCCGAGCGTACGGGAGGCCGACGGCAACGGCGGCCAATTTCCAGGCAGTCGCAAAGCACAGGTGAACTGCAGACGCCGAAGCTGACCTTCGCGATGCATTTCGTGCGTGCGATATACAACATGACCAAGTCCGTTGCCGGAAAGCGTGATCCGTATCGCGCACGTGACAAGTAGAGTAGAATAAAAAATGATAACCTACTTGCCTTGAAATCCAGCGCTGTTTTCTGCCCTGAGTCGGACTGAAGTATATATCCGATTGGCATGTTGTCTTCTCGGCCGCCATATTGGCCTTCCCAACTGTTGCTGTCATGTGTTGGTCGTGACTATCTTGAAGCTAGAGATACAGCGCGGCGTGGTGACGTGTCGAGACTTGTTCCAGACTTCATGGGTGCAGCGAAACACAACAGCAGCAGCCCACGCTCATCCAAGCGTACACACAAGCATCACGTCGTAATTCTTAGATCGTCAAGTCCTGGCGGCTGTGGTCTGGCACTCCGAGCGCGTTGCAACGCCAACCGTCGCCGGCAAAATACGGGGAAAGACTGAGCCAGCAGAAGAGGAGAAGGGAGGAGAAGGGAAGAAAAGGAGGGCTGGTCACCTTGGCAACGCTTCTCGCGCTGCCTGCCATCCACGGGCGGTTAATCCTTTTGAAGCGTGTGGTTTCGCGCGGCACGCTTCCCTGTGTGGTTGCTCCTCAACGGTCTATCTTTCATCGCGCGCGCCTATTAGGCTCCGTTACTCTTTTTCGGGTAATTTTCGCTTAGTGTGTGTGTAACGTACGATTAATTTTCTTGCTTTTAGCAAGAACGTTACGGGGTGGATTGACGCCTTCGTGTCATGACGCCTTCGGTCGTTGTCACACATCATGGACATACCAGGCAAACAATAAAAAGTCTTGTAATAATTCAAGCTCGCATTACTGCTTACACTCTTACACTGATTAAAAGTTTATACAGGACTTACAGAACTTAGGCAACGAATGTTAAAAGTGAACTCCGCCAATTTGTCTGTATTTGCTGATTTGCATAAAACATTGAACATGTGTTCTCGTCGGTACCGCAGTGATATACGCCTAGCTACACAATCATCAGTCGATTATTTGTTTGGAAAAAATTGGCAGATTGCACATAGATTGGGAATCAATGAAAATTGGCAGATTCCACGCACGTTGGGAATCGATGATATGCGAAGCACGAATGAGGAAGGTTGATATGTCACTGTATTAACAGCAAACGTTACGAGGCGGAGGTAAATTATGCCGCACATGACTTCCATGACATGGTCATAATTTTTGGACGTGTCATTCACCCTCATTATCTATTCACGTCACCTGATACCAAATTTCGTATATGTGGAGCTAGCAGAACGGCCGCGAGCGTCCTATGAGCGTAGAATGTAGTCAAGGTTTACAGGACACGCATGCCATGATTATAATGTTTCAACCTTCGTTGTTCCGTTCGCGTCATGCAATACCAAATTTGGTATATGTGGTGCTGGTGAAACGGCTGCGAGCGCATCATGAGCGTGGATGCATTCATGTTGTAACAAAATACGAATCTCTTGATTATCATGATTGCACCAGTCACATACCTTTGTCGTCCATTCACGTCTCGTAATACCAATTTTTGCACATGTGGAGCTAGCGAAACGGCGGCGAGCCCATCATGAAGGGCCCAGTATACTCCAACGTAACGTCGACGCGCGCGCACGCTTGGCGCAGCGACACTACGCTAACAAAACACTAGCTCTCTATACTCTGGCGCCAGGAGCAACCGGCGCGACCAGCGTCTGTCGGAGGCAACCGGCGCGAAATGTGACATGCTGCCTTTCGCGCCGATGACGTTACCAAGAAAGCACCATTTCTACCTCTCTTCGTGACGGAGGGACGCCGGGCGCACACAAGCGCGCATGCGTCAAAGCAACGTTGCGCGGCGCGCGCCTGCAAGTTTATCACCGGCATGATGCGACAAAACGAATGCCGGCGCGCACTTGGGACGGGTCACGTCGAAGTGTATCGAAGCCTTGACTTTGGCATGTAGTCAAGTTCTCGCATGACACGCTTCTCATGATTATCATGTTCGCACCAGCCACATACCTTCGTCATCCATTCCGTGGCATAATACCAACTTTGGCATATGTGAAACTAGCGAAACGTCAGGCTGGCGCCCGTGCCTGACGTCTCCCCACGTTATGTGTGGGATGCATGTTACGGGGTACCTGGGAGCGTGTTTGACAACCGTATGCTGGAGAACGCACGAGAGAGAAGGGAGACGTCTATGTTGTCTGCTACGGCGCTCAGTGGCGACCACCGCTGCAAACGTCGTTTCCGCGCAATGCTTGAAGTCCTCGTCTGTTCTCGCCGCCGTCGCCGCACTCGCGGGGTGAAGAGCGCGTGATCGCGGTGCTGCGTTGTGTCAATATGCCAGTGATACGACTGCCTTTAGGGTTGTTTCCGAACTGCTGAAGCCATAATTAGACAGTGTCGGGGCTCACTGCGTGGACAGGCGGCATCTGCACACTCGTGGCATTACGACGAGTAGTAGACGGACAAGACTTACGCGTTGGAGCGAAACGTACGGCCGTGGCCGCGGGGTTCCATAGATTGGGGAGCTCATTTTTCGCCAAGCGTGTTTAGCTCATGCCTAAGTTTTAACCACCCATAATTGTAGTTTGAATCCTCATTCTAACGGCCGCATCTAACGGCCGTACGCTGTCGTTCATGTTTTGAGTTGTTTCCAGTGCTTGCTTTTAGTTACGAGTTTTAAACAGATCGGTACGACTTGTCTAAATACAACATTTTTTAATGTACATACCAACCAGCCCCGTTCAGTTCGGTAATGCAGGTGAACTGTCTTCATT